CATCCTAATGCTCGTATGGTGAGTGTGGAGTACGGGAGAGCCTTTTTAATGGAAACGAGACATTCTATATTTGTCCTCGGAGGTGAAAATTCATCTGTATTTTGATTCTTGGTTGAGGAGTAATGCAGATGTCTATAGGCCACAACATTCACTTATCATCAGGTGAACTATATACTCGTTTGTCACCCATATTTTTGGTATTTATGGTAGAGTCATGCTGCAGCTATATTAGTAGTATAGATGTAGCACGAATGGGTCGGCTCGACCGGGGTAGGACCACGCTCTCACAGAATACCAGCGTAAAATAGCAGCTTAACACTGCTGTGTTTCGTATGGTGAGTGTAGAGAACCGGAGACCCTTTTTACTGGAAAAGAGGCATTCCATCTTAGTTTTCACGGGTGACAACGCATCTGCATTTTGATTCGCAATCGAGGATAGATGTCTATGGGCCACAACAACCACTTATCATCAGGTGGACTGTGTGCTCGTTTGTCACCCTATCCTATAAAAAATATTCTATTTAAAAAAAAGCAGGCAGGTGGATTAACGATCGCGGTACCAGACTTCTTGCACCTTGACGCTGCTATTCGTCACTGTTTTAGGTATTTTAATCTAACGTTACAAAAAAATAAAAGTAATGTACTGTTATGTAGTGTAGTAAGAATATCCACTGCCCCTTATGATCATGACTAAAAATAAAAGACTGCGGGTTTCCAACCCGCTTGCCAATATCCGCGCTATGAGGCAATCTATAGGGACGCCTATGTTCAGCAGTGGACTTGGATAGGCTGTAACTGTATGTAGTCTAAAATAAAATCATTTGTCAAGTTTAACAAAGTGAGATCCTTGATTAAAGAAAGGAACTATTGTCTTAACAATGGAACCGTGTCAACTTTCACTACATTAGTTGGATATTTTATAACAGTAACCAGGAATGTATTCAAAGATTGAATCAGATCCGGATGATAACATTAGATAATATCTACCCTAAGTAGATTTTGTAATACTAACAATGGAATCGTAAAATTGTTGTGACTTATCATAGGCTCCATTGTTTCTTCCTTAACATTAGGCTCGCTCAATTATCTTGCTATAATCGCTCTGAAAACAAAAAAAGCTATAATTGAGGTCAATTTTGTAATGACGACATAATGCTTGAGTTCCTATTTTGATAGCATAAACATGGCATCAAAGTTTTTAAATCAGTCTTAAAACTTCTGTTATAAACAATAAGCATCTTTCTGACACTAAAAGCATCAAGCAATGAGATAAAAGATCCAATAAACAAAAAAAAAATACTATCAACAAAATTACAACCTGAATTATGTATTTTGTTAATTAAAGAATGGAACTATGTATTTTATTCTATGAATAACTGTGTCTAATGATTGAAAAATTTTGCCTACGACAAATAACGGTGTGAGAATATCCATCGACGAAATGTCACCGAATCTATTATATGAAAATTTATGTTTGTTTGTTCGCATTTTATCCGCTGTCATGCCGTTCATTGCACAAAAACTTTGTCAACTTATTGCTCCACTTCCGCGAAGATAGTACAATTAACTTACAATAGGTGGCGGGCGTACCGACAAATTTAGTTGAAAGTTGATTTATCGTTCCATTTCAATCAATGTATTATCAAAATTTAAAACAATATTTCCACAATTATTTCTTTTTTTTCACATATTCAAAATATTTAAAAAAAAATGATTTTTTTAGCCCTACAGCAGAAGCCACACACGGTTTAGTTGTTTCTGCTGCAGCAACGCGCCGGTTACCAGCTAGTATAACAGTATAGTAAAAATATAATAATAATATCATCCATGCTGATTTCGACTACGGCTACTCGTATAGCTTCTTCGTCTCAATCATTAGTTTCGGTGACATGCTTTGATGTAGATGATATAGCCTATTTTTGCACTAAATGTGCGCATTCAGCGCATAAATGTAAGGATGCCTTTTGCATTGTTATAAACTACGTTAGCTGGTGGCCTGTTCTTGATTTCAGCAAATATAGTGACTGACGAAGTTGGCAAAATATTTATTTCAAATATTACAAACGTCGTCAGTGCGGGACGTCAGCTCCACAGACTGTCAATTTGTCGCCAATTGCGAGTTGCGAATTTTTCACTGCCAATAGAGGCCGCTGACCAGAGTCGAAATTTTAATAGTTATTTGCAACAAAATTGCCGACTCTTCTGACTTCTTCTCAAGTTACACAGGTAGATTTAATAGCTAAAATATTTAATAAACGTTCATTGATAGTAGATAGTAGATTTTCTAAACTATAATCGTATATAAAGCATTTGAAAGCTATCAAACCTTAAAAGTACATAAATTACATCGTATTGACATACTGCGGTAGGTTGGCAATCAATAACTACTGTACATCGGTACGTTTCTAAGAAGCTTCGATAAGTCTTTTCTTATGTACATTCCGTCTCTCTAATTAAAACGGACATTTTTAATTATTCATGCAAGGTACGTACTTGTTTCAAAGCAAAATAAACCTTATATCGTGTTTATAAGTACTTTTATTTTGATCATCGTTCTCAACATTGAAAACATCAGGCAAATAGAATAGCAACTTTATACGTTAGGGTTGGCAGCTTGAAAATTAATACAATCGTTTGGCTAGCCGATTATATTAATTTTCAAGCTGAAACTGATATCGACATAATTATATACATCATAATTAGAACTCTTTATAAACAAATTATATATGATTCTAAAGTTTTGCAGTGTTTTTAGTTTTTATTCCACTTTTACGAAATTAATTGTCCGATGATATATTATACGTTCTGCCTACTGTGAGAAAAGCTCAACTATGGTCTGTTATGCTCAAAGTATTTGTTGCTTACGTATAGTTATCTCTCTTTTGTATTTTATCCTTTCAATCCCTTAATTTCAATTAATTAATAGTTATAACGTATAAATTTTGTTAATCAGTAAAACTACATAATACATAACCCTGTGCTTTAAATGTTTATGTTTAAACTTGTCGGAGCTTATGATGTAATCCTTGTAAGATTACAATAGAATCGATAGATACAAGTATGTAGTTTCTTGAACAATGAACTCTTACAATGAACGTTTGACCTTATCTTGATATCAAATGGTACATCGAGAAACTAAGACCATTTCATAAAAAAGAAATCAATGCTAACAAACGCTATTACTATAAATAGTAGTTTAAAAAATATCTCCTGATTCCCGATTCTTATATTACTTTAACACAAATCGAATGCAATTACGGTTTGTATCTAAACATAATTCGTATTGATTAAAGTTTTACGAGATGAAATTTATTTTACGAAAGATGAAGTTAAATCAAATCTTAATTAATGAATATGGAACGAGCGAAGTCGTAAAACCTTGAGAGGATGTTTACAAAAGCAAAATTATACACAACAGACTGTATAAGCTACATTTACTTTTACCAAAGTAACGCCCACGCAAACACATTATGTAAATATAACGAGTAATTTTGTCTTTCTATTCACTATCCCATCACATGGCGATAGGAAGTTGGGGAATCGATTTCTAGTCCGTTTATGACAGAAAAGTTTTCAAATGTTCGTCTGCGTTTAGATAATCATTTACATAACAAAAGATAGCTCGTAGTCAAACTTTAATAGTAACACGAAAATATTATCTTCCTCTATTAAATTATTCGATCCCTATATATTATTAACTAAATATTTAAATTGCGTAGCTTGTGTAAAAGCTGACACTTTTGGTAAAATGAAACGGGATTTTTCTATTCGTAATACTCGTAGAATTGAAAAAAATATAACCACAAGCGATGCCGATTGATTGTTATTTGATGTTGAATTTGTACGTAGCCGTTTTTACAAAATCAATCTGCTTTATTAATTCATCAAAATCCTCAAGGACGAATTAGTTGTACATCATATAGAACATCTGATTTTTTCCCGCAAGATTTTTCTTAGCCATTTATATAAATTTGTAATCGCTTTGCTAATAAACGTCTCAGATATTTTTTTATGGAATTTACTGGGTTTTTAATGTACTTTGTAACCATTTAAAATCTCTTAAAAATTTCTTTCTCAAAAATTATTTTTAATCTTTTAGAAATAATTTTTTAAATAGATAAATTGTGTTTGACTTATAAAAAGGTAAAAGTGGAAGTAAAGAAAGCTTCAAAAGTGAAATCGTATATAACAGATAACTTAGTGCGCTTCGCCCTTTTGTGATTTTTTTTTAATTTGTTGAACAGCTTGGATCAAAAGTCAACAGCAATTGCCGCATTAGTTATGCCGTGCGCCCGTGCCTCACTCAATACCGCTGTATTTTTTATTTTAAGTCCCATTATTTTTTTATTAGCTGGAATGTTATAGAGCTGGATTCTTTACGACCATCGATTGTTGTTAATTCTGTAACTGGTTATCGATATTTTTTTTTATTATTTTTCTCAGTATTGTAGTATTTTTAATGTAAACAAATTCTTTATCGTATATACCTTACATTCTCTTCCTTCTTTACCTTAGGATTTTGATCTTGGAAAGATTCTATTTACGTTATTGAGACTATAATTTAATAAATGTGCGTTATAAAATACGATGTCGATGATACTTATTTCCTTGTGCGGTGTAAAGTATTTTTTATATGTTACACCATACATGAAAATAATGATTATTTCTATCTTTTAATTTTACTTATATCTGTTTATTTTATTTATTATTTACATTTGTTTACTGTGGCTGAAACCGGATAACCGAATATAGATTTGACCCAAAATGTTTTTTTTCTTTCTTGCAACTTTTCTTGACTGGTCTCGGTCAATGTTAGCCTCTGTGACGTTTTTGGTATCGGAATCTATCAACCGCGTTGGATTATAGTGTGTAAACATAGTTGTACCTTCGTAAAAGACCCTCACTCGTCCTAACATATCCGTGTTCAGTTTTAATGCAATCTTTATAAAGAGCACGGAAGTTGACGGAGGGCGTTACATATTATATTTGATTTGTTGCAGGTATTGCAACGCGACGTGGAATGTCACGGGCGCATCGTGAGCTCGGTGGTGCGGCTGTGCGGTGGTGGCGACGCGGCCCGCGCTCTAGAACGCCGCTGGCACCTCCTCTACCTGCGCGCTATTGAGTGGCAGTGCCATCTTGAAGCCTGCCTAGCGAAGACCGACAACCAGGTACCTGATTCTGTTTTTAGCTCATTAAACTATTGTATACAATAATTTAACGGCTACCTAGATCGTTTCGTGACGCATTTCGTGCTATGGGTATTGTAAGAAGCAACTATGAGAAATGCCAAAAAAAAAACAGTTTACGAGTTAAAAGCATGACATCTAGTAGTTTAGTACTGCGATCTTCCATCAGCCTGGCAAACCTGATGATTAAGGCAAATTGTCTCTACAAAGGGAGAGGAATTCCACATTTAGCAGAGGAATTTTACGGGTTGTTGAAGAAGACGAAGATAAGGAAATCTTCTGAAGGTTTTTGTCTCATGATGGCGAAAATTGTCGCTTAAACTCGAATTTAGTAGTCCTGTATAGTGACATCAAGAAGTGTATAACATTGTGGATTGTATACATAATCTCAATAAGCTAATAGTCACTTATTTAGTTCATTGAACTTAAATCTGTAATTTATTTTCCTTTAAAACTGAGAAGAGGTGGATTGGACACAGTGAATTTCTTAAACGATTTACTTAAGCTTTTATTACATTTATTATATATTTCGTCATTTATATTAATAAAGGGCACATGAGAAATTATTCTATAGGAATAATGATCCTTATTTTATGAAAATAAAATCGGTGTTCCCATATTTAATACCATTATTAAAATGTTTGTTATTTCGCAGCATTTTTACCTTCATAAAAGATTTGGTTAAGTGCTTACTTCTTGCGGTTCGTCATTGCGTAATATTTGCTGAGTAATTCCGCTTTCAAATAACTACAAGAATAAAGAAAGTATCTGTAATTGACAAAAGGAAAATAATTACGCCGTCAAAAACTCGCAGCTCTTCCTCAAAAGTATATTATTGTATACTACGCGTATATTCTATTGTCACTAAATTGACGAAATCAGAAATAGGAAACATTTCTCACGCATAAGTTAGCTTTCACCACAAAACTGTCTATTTAACCTATTAATGCAATTACGATTCTTACATATATGTATGTAGGTATATAATACATACATATGTGTATTTACGTACATATGTATAGGCAGTGCCCTCGAATTTATTCATTTTGAATTAAGGATTCATGCACCTTCAGCTCATTCAATTTGATTAGTATAAAGTTTACAAAACAGCCTACATACACTCCAGTCCCATAACTGAGCAAAGACTTCGTCTCATTTTTGAAAGAGTTATAGGGTAGCAAAATTTTCCGTACGACTTCAGTATAAATTGGCGGACTCTATAAACCTTTGAAAATTCGTTTTTTATAGGTACATTTTCCTTATTTATTAATAATGAGTTCTTGAAAATCTTTTGATTGTTAATATTTTTTTGTTATTTATTACTGGAATCATTCCAGCAACAAAGCATCAAATAACATAGGATTAACTTAATTAACACCAAATAAAGTAGTATGATATCATGCTTTTGAAATGTAAGAAAAAAATCTATTGAGAATTATTTATTTCATTTCATTTTCTATTATGTTATTAGAACAAAAGAAGTTATTAAATATGTTAATTACGCCTAATAAGCGCAAACTTCTACCTCGAATCAACAATTTCTGGCATTAATTTTTTTTTGCTTTGAGAAACATTACAGATATTAACAATATAAAGTGTATTATAATTTTTTATCTTTATTAGAATACAAATTATTATTTACATAACATTGAAATTTATACAATATTAAAAAACGATAATAAAGAAAAACTAAAATAATATGTATTATAATTAAAATAAATGGAGATTTCCTATGTTATACAGGATATATTTGTAATCAATAGTTTATTGTATTTTCAGACGTTCTAAATTACTATATAATTTTGATTAGATTGTAACACAACAAATGAAAGTTTCATATTACGCGTCACTCTCCTTTCTAGCAATTACATAGAGTCACACACAACAGAAGTCACTAGGCGGATCTGCAAAAAAGTTTCTGCAATTCACTTTCATTTGCAACGCCTTGTTAGTCGTTTTCGCACGAATTTTGGTCTCGCGGTGACAATAGTGCAATCGGCCACCCGCCGACCCCTGTTTGTTTGCAAACGACCCCCAAGTGGCGTTCCAAATGAGCATATCGACTCCGCTAAAGAGAGGGTTAAACTATCATATTTATTGTCTTGTTTATTTAGCTGAAATATTTAAACCATAGCCTTTAGGGATATTTTGTAGCTTTGTTTCTTTTACGTTTGTACGATCTAATAAGGTATGTTCTTTTAAATGAAAAGAAATGTACCTACATTACTATACAGGCCAGGGTTATTTTTCAAAGAGTAGCCAAATTTGCAGTTTTTGAAAATACGAGTAAATAAGGCTTCTACTTTTATATGAAATTATCCCAAATTGAATGTGATTTATGGGCAACAACGTTTTTGCCTACTGATCGACTCTTGCGAATGTGTGCGTGCGCAGTAAAATCAGTTAAAATAATGGATCACCACGCATTTTGAATTTAAAAGATAAAAAGGACAGAATGTTTGAGGTTTTTTTTTAAATAAATTTTTCTTCACATTTGCCTTTATTTCTTATTCTGAACTTTCTCTGCAAACTTGGCCGTTTATTGCAAAATAACCCTGTATAGTTTCTATAGATCTCATAATATTAGTGGATTTAAAAACTACAATTTGTAAAATTATATTAGTTTAAAGTGCTTACTAAGTATAGTTTACTTTGTTTAACTATCACGCATTTATACACTGTTGAAAGTATTTGAACAATTTAGTCAATTCCCGGCTATTTAGCAACCCTTAGCTTTGAGATGTAGGGTGGACACGTGCCCTTGTGTGTGTAAAATGCTTCATAAAATTCATGAGAGATTTACTTATGATTTGTGGCTAGAACTGACCTAATTCCATTAGCGTATTCAGGACGCATCTATTAATTTAAGTAATGGGGTCGAAATGTTACTTTGGGGCCTTTGCTAACCATAAATTCATTTATTTACCCATTCGTTAAATGGTATGAATAGTTCAAAAGCTCTAACAAGCATTTAAATATAATTTATTACATACTTGCCTTTTACATCATTTTTTATTGCAGTTATTTTTAATTTAATTTGTTTATTTTGGATCTAGCGTTAAGATCGTTGATTTATGTTATAAATTATACAAAATTTCCTTTGTAAGTGGACATTGGTTTTAAAATAAATTTTGTTATATTTTAATTAGTTTCAAAAACAATAAAGAATATTCGTATCATATATCATATGTCATCACCTTTAAAAAGTCTTTGCAATCATGCAGTCATTTTTAAGAATAGTACGTTTTTATTCTATTGATCACGTTTTGTAGTAATGAATTATGCCTTTATTTATGAAGGGACTGTGTCCCACTCAAAAACATAGATATCGCTTGTTATAAAACATTTGTAGTAGTGTATATAATAATTATTTAAAATAAAATCAAGCTTTTATTTTTATTTTCTATTAAAACGGGTTAAATGGCATATTCCTGTCAAGCGATTAACACTTGTTGTCGTCTCGAAACACTTGTTGTGAGAAAACGTACGATCCGTCGACTGATCCGTATGCGATTTATGTGCCAGCCCTTGGATTGGCAAAAATCCAGTGATGCGGTAGAAAAATGAAGTTAAATAAAGATTTCACATTTCCAGGGTTGCATATCAATAGAAGAGGCGAGCGACAGTGACGAGGAGCCGGCTCTTAAGCAACCTCGGCTGTGCAGACGTGGCTCACCACGGCGACTCCGCACACCGCAACCTAGGAAACGCAACCGTTCATTCGACAGCCGGCAGTCTGCCTCAGAGGTAAAGAACAACAATTTTCAAATTTTCTGGTTTATTATGGGACTTCCTTTATACATTATTTTTATATAATAAGGTTGACTAAAAAGCACACAGTCTACCTGATGGTAAGTGTTCTCTGTGAATCAAACTGCAGATGTGTTGTCACCCCCGAAAATTAAGATGGAATGCCTCGTTTCTAGTAAAAACGGTCTCCAGTTGTCTACACTCACCATACAAAACTCAGCAGCATTAAGCTACTATTTTACGCTGGTATTCTGTGAGAGCGTGGTCCGTCCTCAGCCGGGCCGACCCATTCGTGTCAGTGATAATGAAAGTCATTATAATATCTCCAGAGCTCGATACTAATCCAAGTTTGACCCTCGGTAATATTATTTTTTGGTGCTCGGTTCTATGAGTTATATAGCTGGCTCAGTTTGATTGATTTGTTACGGATATCTATTGTACAGATGTTATGGAATGTAGGTGGGTTACACAATTGTGCACAAAAAAAAAACAGTAGATGATGCCAAATCTAATGATCCAGTGACATAGAAATATTTAAACATACAAGCTAGTAAAAACACAAATTGCTGGTTTTCGGTTTTGTGGTCTATTGTAATGTTATTTCTTATGATATATTAGTCTACTTTTGATCTTTTCACATAATCATTGGACAAGGGTAGATTATTATCGAGCACTGTATCTCCGGCGCAGCAGATACATTTCTTTGGAATTTTTCGCCGTGGCTAAAAACAATCAAAAACTTCATCACGATATCAATATCTCTTCGTTAAGGATGTGAAAATTGAATGGCCAAGATGGGCGTGACAAAGGAGTAATCTAATAATATTATTAATAATAATCTAATATCTATTATCTATTCAAAATCTATTCTCTCCCACAATTCGCTCAGTATCTCTGCCACCACTAAATCTAAACCACTATACAAGGAAAGACACATTACCGTCGTTAATACGACACGTGTTCCTCTTCTAAACGAAGCATCAAGAGAAATAGACTCAGAGATTGCGAGGTTGACTATATTACTAATAATGAAATCAGATTTGGTGGTGACAGTGATAGTGCATGCAATTGCGGTAGGGTACGCTTTTCAAACTAATTAAGGCTATATTAGCTAATTAATTTAAACATCTCTAAATAATATATTTACGCAAAGTAACATCTAATTTTATTATTTCTCCCTTCGTTTTTCTAATTACTGTTGCGTTTCGCAGGAGGAAACAGACGATGTGCTGACGTGCACCTGGGGTGGCTTCGAATCGGACTACTCGTGGACTCGGCGCGCGGACAGCATGGAGCAGGACGAGCACCGCGTGCCCGACCTCACGGACAGTGGTCCCAATGAAACGCTGCGACGTCTGCACGGTTAGTGCCCAATTCAATGGATTACTTCTTTTGTCTCTATCGGCCAATAATATGTCACTGCTGGGCACACGGACATTTTCCATTGTGTCGCATATCGCAACGCTTTGCAGGCGTTATTCCTCGACCGGGGGGGGGGGGGGGGGGCACCGCCCTTGCGACACATCAGTGTCGCATTCTCACTCAGTTCCACCCCATTGCGAAGATTCGACTGCTTTAATCATACTCAAGTGAATCATCATCATCATCAATCGCAATTTAAAATGAAATACTCTACCACGCTTTAACCACTTTCAAGACAATATGTATTTCACGATTACCAGAGATAATGCATATTTGTTAATATATATTTGCAATTACAGCCCAGAATGCAAACGTAGGTAAAGAATTTTTTCTATTATGGGGGCTCAATGGTCGAATGAAAGAAACCGACTAACGGTGTCTTCAGTTCGAACTATACTTTTAATTCAATATAATTTGAAGAATTTAACATGTGGGGCATTATATAAATCAATACTTAAAGAAAAAATCGTACTTAAAAAGGTATCTTCACATATTAAGTATGATAAAACTGTTTAAGTACATACTTGGATAAATAAGTTTTGATTTTAATTGTACAATTATTAATTAAGAAGAAGAAGATTATTATTAGTTTGTTTAACTTTTTATTTTAAAGAGATCTTTAAAATGTAAGCTGTATTGTATTGAAAATTCTAAAAATCCTGGGATTTCATGACATTTGCAAAATCCAGCCGCAATCCTGAGAAGAGTCCAAAAATCCTGAAATTTCAGGACAAATCCTGAGATATGGTAACCCTACGTGCACGACGATGAACTACACGATAAGTGGGTCGTCTATGTTAGTCACCCATACACTACTGTAGGAAATAAGAAGGTACTAACCGATTGGCGAATCAGCGACATAGGTTTTTTCTTCAACCCTTTTTGGTGTTGCTACATAAAAAGTCAACATTAGTTTGGAGCCGGTAAGGACTAAGCACGTTCATGAATAAAACCATTCCTTTAAATAGAGACGTCAGTCCTTACATAACGAATCTTTTCTCCAGCAACGTTATTAATAAGAATTTCATTGGTCATGGGTATTCTCGGTTGATATTATTTCCAGTTTTATATAAGCTTAAATAAATTAAATCAACGTGGGAAAAATCACATGAAGAGACAAAGTGTATTTATTCTGATCTTACAATCGTTTTGATCTCTAGTATCTAAGATTTCCATTTATAATGTATCATAGACGCAGATGAGCCACGCTGCATATTATGGTTGTTGCACAAATAGGTTTGCTCGAATGGTGAAGGTCAACGCTCTCGCAGAATATCAGCGAAAAAAGTATCTTAATTCTTAGATGATTCGTATGTTGAGTGTAGAGAACTGGAGACCCCTTTTTACTGATAACTAGGCAATCCATCTTATTCCTCAGGGAGTGACAAAGCATCTGCATTTTGATTCTTAATCGAGCATAGATGTATCTTGGACAACGTCGTCTATTTACAACTGTGTGCTCGTTTGTCACCCTTATTCTATAAAACAATGCTTACTGTAGGTTTACGTATACTAAATTAAAAGATTACACAAAACTTTAAATACATATTCACGTCGATTTCTCACAATGTCCATAAATGGTGAACAAAGCATCATTCAACAGCAATCATCCGATAAATGCACATCCAATGCATATCCAATATCCAACTTTCGATTTTCTCAAATGGTGCTCGCGCCTCACGACTATCGACCGTGCGATTTGCATAAATAAACAATGACTCGTATAATCGATTATTTGTCGCAATATTGTTTGAATACCACGGTTTTTAAAACAAACAAACAAACAAACTAACAGTCGCCACTTGAGAAACAATCCCACAACTCGTTGCTTTTCATTACAGACCTCAGTACGCAGGAAACTGAAACGATGAATTTCCACGAGCAAGTAAAAACACCACCGACGGTTGTTAAGAGGAAGAAACCAGTAGACACGTCCAAATTCAATCAGTCCGATAGAAAATCGAAGAACTGTGCCACTTTTTACTTCAGGCATCATGATACCGATTCTGATGGAAGGCAAATGATCGAGACGGACGAAAAGTCACAAGAATCCTCGGAGGAAGAATGGACGTACGTCGGTAGTCCAAAGATCGCCAACGAAGATTCCACTGACCTCATGACGTCATCAGTGGAGATCCAGTACGAGCTCCCCGTTGACGAGAAAAAAGAAAAACCGCCTTCACCCAAACCTAAGTTGGAATCGAATACACCGGACCTCATCAAAGTAGACGCTAGATGTAAGGATATCGAAAGACTGGTTATTCAGGCAGAGGAATTAGTTCAGAAGCAAGCACAGCAGCAAATGAAGAAGAAAGGATCGAGAAGCTTCAAGCCGCTTATGTTCGAAGAGGAGGGGAAATCTGTCAGCCGAGTGAAGATGTCCCGGATAAAGGAGTGGCTAAATCAGAGCACGGAAGGCGAACGTTCGAAGAACGATAGCAATCAGGTAAGGATTTAACCGATTCTTTCTTTTAGTGTAAAATAGCAGTCAGTCTTGAGTTTGATCCAAATTGAAAAAACACAAATTACTGGTTTTCAGGTTTAGACTGTAAGTATTTTTATACGTCATAATATTATGTACATTATAAATGTTTGAGCCTTCCTCTTTTAGAGTTAGAGATAGAGATACGGGTAGAAAGAGGTTAACGTTGGGAAAGATTGCCACAGAATGTGCGATGTTTCTTATGACCCTATATTTTCTCCCCAGTCGATAAAGAAAACCACAGGGGCAACTTTGGCAAGTATCCCCCTTCTGAGGCAATCAATGGGGAGGTCTATGTTCAGCAGTGGACTGTTATAGGCTGTAATTGATTGAATGAATGTATGACAAAGAAAGCGTTTTTACATTTTACTCAGTCGTTATGATTAGCTACTAGAAATATTGCTTATAGACTTCACTTGTAAAATATCTAGTAAAAAGGTAAGTGTAAAATTACCTAGTGATTGAATATATTATACATATATATATATATGTATAGTACTATGCTGTAGAAATAGGGTCATTATGAAGTATGTTAGGGCTGACTGGATGATAGTGTAAGAAATTGTGTAATATTAGAAAAATGTGGTTTGCAAGATGTCACAAGACTAGGATTTGTAAAGGAATGCTTTGGTGGTTTGGACACGTTGAAAGAATGAATGGGGAAATAGTGACGATATATTGAGGATGAACTAAATTAAGAGTACGCTTACTCCACAAACATGTATGCCAAAATATATGGATATGGAAGAAGCGAGGGAGGTCCTGCCTCTACCCCAGAGGTGAAAGGCGTGAGACTTATATGTATATAATATTATGTAGATTTTTTTTATTTCTATTTTGATAAATAAAAAAGTATGTAGTTATATTATTATTACTAAACGTTTCATAATTCTTTAATACTTAGTCTTTACTACTTATGGAAAATATATCTTAATAGCCTAAATTTATGGTATTACTTCCAGTGCACGGAAAGCTACGATGCTTCGGGTGAATACACCACGGAGAGTGAAGTGGACACCTCGTTGACTTCTGAAGAGCGCAACTTACATTCGTCGATGGACATGAGCACGTCCACTTGTACCGTCACCCCAACACATCAGGCCAAGGTAAATACGACATTACCGCATTATGTTAAGCTTTCATTTCAAACGCTTTCTTAGTGTCGTGTTTAAACTCATTGACGTTATTAACAACGGTGACTGAAAATAAGCTTTAAGCCGTTCTTTTGTGTATATCAATGTGTACTTTATAATGTTACGTAATTATAAATCTGTTATTGGAGCCTGATAACTTTTACCTTACAATGGAACACAACAAAGTAATAAGTGTTAGAGGAGAACTATGTTAAAATTAAAAAAATTGTGGTAATCAATATTGTTGATTCTGTATATATTACATAATTGAATTAGGTATTGTTACTTTATGGAAATCCATTATATTAAATATGCTAAAATTAATTTTAAAAAAATAACTGGACTAGATAAAGTGTAGGGTGGCACCCCACTAGATAGAGTGACGACCAGGTGAGAGATGCAGTAAGTCGATGGATTCAGATGACTTGACCTTGTTTTGTGGCTTTCCTTAGGGAAGACATATGTTCAACGGACCTGTGAAGGATTGTAATGATGACGATAATGACGAAATAAGTATACATAGAACAATTATTGTAAGCCAAAACAAACTGAGAAAGCATCAAACAAACACGAGGATTTCAGTAACTGTCGCACTAAGAAACGACGTCGTATATAGGCTATCCACTTTCGGACATGTTCAAAAGGTGTCAATATAACAAAAATCGATCTGGAGAACTTTAAAAAATTAAACATTTCACATTCATATTATCTCACGAAACGCCGCAAATCATGCTAGCTTAGCTAGCGTCAGAGAGCCAAGTTGACTTTCTACAATCGTCAATGCAAATTAAAAAAAAATTGTGCGGTCGGGGGAACCCGTCAGGAACGCAGTTAAAATAATACTCTTCTAAGTTTGCTTTATTTACACTAGCTGCAGTTTCTGTTTCTCGACTTTCCATTATAACAATAATGACACAAAATAAATCCGGTGTCAATTAAAACAATATCAAAAAATAAGTTTAATTAATATTTACACGTATTTAGAATTGAGGTTATACAGCTGACCGCGCACAATGCTTGCTGCTCGAATCTCGATACTCGCACGAACACACACGCATACATCGTATATGATAGAAAGAGACAGAGAGGGACAGGTTGTCTGGAGGGTGCATAACGCTTTTTCCTTACGTGACGATTTCTGCTAGTTCACTCTACTGTAAGCCGCGTAAAAGAACTTCGTTCCTAAAACAAAAGTGAATGGAAATTACTAACTCAATGTTAAGACATGTGACTTTCGATAATTTGATTCATATTTATAGTTTTCTATTAGCATTAACGATTGTACAAAGTCAACTTAACCCTGCAGCTACGTAAAACAGCTTTATTTGACTTCTCATTTAGCGTAATTTGCTAAACTTGGCAAAGCCTGCTGCTCCGAAAGTTCGCTCGTCAATAAACTACTTTTAGCGTTCCCTTCTACGCTAAATGCATATTTTAGCACGACCTAAGCGTTCGATATTCGATGGAAAAAAGATACTTTATTTGAAACATTTTTTCTTATTAGTGAAAAACAAAAGATCTAAATAAATATGTATCCGATTAAGAATCTAATTCAATAATATGCCTGTCATATTATCTATAATATTATAATTTAATCGTGTTTTTATGTGATTACCATATAAAGTTATTAAATATTAAGATTAAGAATTAATCGAGTATTTTCATGTATTCGTATGTGCAAATTTTTCCGAGCTACTATTTCAACAAGTATCAATTTTCGAGCGTCAAAATCGTGTCCAAAATATGATATTTAGTCCAACCTGGCCTTACGATCGACTGTGATTAACAAACTAAACGTCGCTAACTAACGCGCACGTAGGTGCAGCTGCGCAAGAAGCGCAGCGGGCCGCGGCCGTGGTCGGTGTCGTGCCTGTCGCAGCTGCCGGCGCCGCCGCCGCCCGCCATCTCGCACAACATGTCCATCTCCGAGTCCGCGCTGCACACGCTCGCCGCGCCGCCCGGCCCGCACGCCCCCTCCCCCTCCCCCTCGCACTCCAACGGCAAGCTGCGCGGCAGCAACACCACGGTACAGGTATGTATACTGTCGCCGCTCGCACAACATGTCCATCTCCGAGTCCGCGCTGCACACGCTCGCCGCGCCGCCCGGCCCGCACGCCCCCTCCCCCTCCCCCTCGCACTCCAACGGCAAGCTGCGCGGCAGCAACACCACGGTACAGGTATGTATACTGTCGCCGCTCGCACAACATGTCCATCTCCGAGTCCGCGCTGCACACGCTCGCCGCGCCGCCCGGCCCGCACGCCCCCTCCCCCTCCCCCTCGCACTCCAACGGCAAGCTGCGCGGCAGCAACACCACGGTACAGGTATGTATACTGTCGCCGCTCGCACAACATGTCCATCTCCGAGTCCGCGCTGCACACGCTCGCCGCGCCGCCCGGCCCGCACGCCCCCTCCCCCTCCCCCTCGCACTCCAACGGCAAGCTGCGCGGCAGCAACACCACGGTACAGGTATGTATACTGTCGCCGCTCGCACAACATGTCCATCTCCGAGTCCGCGCTGCACACGCTCGCCGCGCCGCCCGGCCCGCACGCCCCCTCCCCCTCCCCCTCGCACTCCAACGGCAAGCTGCGCGGCAGCAACACCACGGTACAGGTATGTATACTGTCGCCGCTCGCACAACATGTCCATCTCCGAGTCCGCGCTGCACACGCTCGCCGCGCCGCCCGGCCCGCACGCCCCCTCCCCCTCCCCCTCGCACTCCAACGGCAAGCTGCGCGGCAGCAACACCACGGTACAGGTATGTATACTGTCGCCGCTCGCACAACATGTCCATCTCCGAGTCCGCGCTGCACACGCTCGCCGCGCCGCCCGGCCCGCACGCCCCCTCCCCCTCCCCCTCGCACTCCAACGGCAAGCTGCGCGGCAGCAACACCACGGTACAGGTATGTATACTGTCGCCGCTCGCACAACATGTCCATCTCCGAGTCCGCGCTGCACACGCTCGCCGCGCCGCCCGGCCCGCACGCCCCCTCCCCCTCCCCCTCGCACTCCAACGGCAAGCTGCGCGGCAGCAACACCACGGTACAGGTATGTATACTGTCGCCGCTCGCACAACATGTCCATCTCCGAGTCCGCGCTGCACACGCTCGCCGCGCCGCCCGGCCCGCACGCCCCCTCCCCCTCCCCCTCGCACTCCAACGGCAAGCTGCGCGGCAGCAACACCACGGTACAGGTATGTATACTGTCGCCGCTCGCACAACATGTCCATCTCCGAGTCCGCGCTGCACACGCTCGCCGCGCCGCCCGGCCCGCACGCCCCCTCCCCCTCCCCCTCGCACTCCAACGGCAAGCTGCGCGGCAGCAACACCACGGTACAGGTATGTATACTGTCGCCGCTCGCACAACATGTCCATCTCCGAGTCCGCGCTGCACACGCTCGCCGCGCCGCCCGGCCCGCACGCCCCCTCCCCCTCCCCCTCGCACTCCAACGGCAAGCTGCGCGGCAGCAACACCACGGTACAGGTATGTATACTGTCGCCGCTCGCACAACATGTCCATCTCCGAGTCCGCGCTGCACACGCTCGCCGCGCCGCCCGGCCCGCACGCCCCCTCCCCCTCCCCCTCGCACTCCAACGGCAAGCTGCGCGGCAGCAACACCACGGTACAGGTATGTATACTGTCGCCGCTCGCACAACATGTCCATCTCCGAGTCCGCGCTGCACACGCTCGCCGCGCTGCCCGGCCCGCACGCCCCCTCCCCCTCCCCCTCGCACTCCAACGGCAAGCTGCGCGGCAGCAACACCACGGTACAGGTATGTATACTGTCGCCGCTCGCACAACATGTCCATCTCCGAGTCCGCGCTGCACACGCTCGCCGCGCCGCCCGGCCCGCACGCCCCCTCCCCCTCCCCCTCGCACTCCAACGGCAAGCTGCGCGGCAGCAACACCACGGTACAGGTATGTATACTGTCGCCGCTCGCACAACATGTCCATCTCCGAGTCCGCGCTGCACACGCTCGCCGCGCCGCCCGGCCCGCACGCCCCCTCCCCCTCCCCCTCGCACTCCAACGGCAAGCTGCGCGGCAGCAACACCACGGTACAGGTATGTATACTGTCGCCGCTCGCACAACATGTCCATCTCCGAGTCCGCGCTGCACACGCTCGCCGCGCCGCCCGGCCCGCACGCCCCCTCCCCCTCCCCCTCGCACTCCAACGGCAAGCTGCGCGGCAGCAACACCACGGTACAGGTATGTATACTGTCGCCGCTCGCACAACATGTCCATCTCCGAGTCCGCGCTGCACACGCTCGCCGCGCCGCCCGGCCCGCACGCCCCCTCCCCCTCCCCCTCGCACTCCAACGGCAAGCTGCGCGGCAGCAACACCACGGTACAGGTATGTATACTGTCGCCGCTCGCACAACATGTCCATCTCCGAGTCCGCGCTGCACACGCTCGCCGCGCCGCCCGGCCCGCACGCCCCCTCCCCCTCCCCCTCGCACTCCAACGGCAAGCTGCGCGGCAGCAACACCACGGTACAGGTATGTATACTGTCGCCGCTCTGTATCCGCAACTCTCAACACGTTAGCGCGTACTTTGCGTGCGCGTACTTTTGCGTTAGTTATGTAGTCATTCAGTCATTCCTTCATTCATACATTACAGTCTATTGAACAGTCCACTGCTGAACACTTTCATCCTAAATTGTCACGCTTTTTTAATAATTTTGGACTGTTATTAGGAAAATGCTGCTGCAATCTCCCGTTTCATTTCCTGCTGTCAGCTCTTAGGACAACCACACGATGTATTATTAGTGGATTCTCTTCCTCCGCAAATGACGAATACAAAAACGACGCTTAGCAGCGTCAAAGTGGCGAGAAGTCGTCGATCCGTCTCCCAAGCGTGATGATTAAGGTAAATTCTCCCTACAAAGGGAGAGAGACTAAGCTATGTAGATACTACAGGATAGTCTCTTTTATAGGGTGCTTAAAGTTTAAGAGCAGCATTGCCAGGTATGGAACGGGCAATCATTATTGCATCATTCATTTATTTCATTTAGCTTCAAACCAACAAAGAAAGAATGGCGGAGCGCTGCATAGCGTACTTGTTAATCACGCAAAAACCAAGCCAAAACCATTCCCAATTTTAAGAACAAGCGCTTACACGCGCTACGCATACCTACAACCATCTAAATAATTTGCAACCAATAACATTGTTTTTGGTGCTTGTGTGCGTTCAGCAATGAACTGTTACGGACTGTGTGTACGTACGGCCTGTTAAGAAAATGAGCATAACCTCCATCTTTCTTTGTTGACCTGAGACATGTATTACATACGATATGGTTATATCATCATTTATAAGGTTATACCACTTCCACAAGACTTGATGGAATTATAGATATACTTATATATATTAAGCATATTCATAATTCCATCTTTAACTCACATTTTTTTAATCTACTGCTAAACTAACGACATGCCTCCCCGGTTTCGTCATATTCGTACAATATACAAGAAGAGCTCACGAGTAACATAATATATAAATTAAAGAACAATGGCAGACTTTAATACATAAAATTAGTTGAGAAGGAATGGTAGCATCTATATATTAAAAATATCTTAAAATGTTAAGCGTCAGTCCCTTAATAACTCTGTCAAAGAATTTTGTCCTGAGAAGGCGTCAAAAAAAAAAGATATTTAGATTTGAACCTTTTTAGGTTATGTCTTATGTCACTTGGAAAAAGTAATGCGTCCTGTGGTTGTTTGATGTTAGCTTAACACATTCTCAACATAATGTACCTACCTACATAATTGAAAGTTTTTAGATTATTGTATCTCTATTATATATTTACATACTATAAATGTACATTTCTAGTATGGCTCCCGGGCCTTTGTGTCATACAGTGACATTCTCAGAAGGGCTAGAACCCAGAGCCGTAAAATGAATATTAATAGTAGTATGAAATTGTTACATAGTACTATGATTGAGATAATGTATTATTGAAGGAAGTTCTTTGTAAGAGACTTATTTTCAGCCATATCACTTTTATTTTTATTATTAACTAGCTGTTCCCCGCGACTTCGTTCGCGTGTTAGGGTTTGTATGTTTCTGCGCGGAACCCTGATTCTTTTTCTAAAATAAAAGTAGTCTATGTTACTCATTATGAAATCAGCTATCTGCCAGTGAAAGTCCCGTCAAAATCGGTCCAGCCGTTTCGGAGATTACCCGGAACAAACAGACAGACAGACAGACAGACAGACAGACAGACAAAAATTTTAAAAATTGTATTTTAGTTATAGGTATCGTATTTACTTTCATATGCATTTAGTAAAAAACTGTAATTTTGACATTACAAACAGACACTTCAATTTTATTTATTTGTATAATTGTATAAATACAAAAATATTTTGTATTTGTGTGTTGTGTTGGTAGTCTTAGAAAGTGTATACGATAATAGTATGAATATAGTAAATGACAACACTTGAATAGAGTAAAATGGTTTAAGTCATTTGATATTCCCAAAAATGTTTGCTTTTTTCTGTGGCTTTAATTAAAATACATTTTTGTTTGAAAAATCATAGAAAAATAATAAAACTCATTTTATATATAACTTATTTCTAGACGCAATAATTTTTTCAACTATTTTTCTGCCATTGTTCTTTAATACATTTATGTATGTAAATCATTAATATAATTAGAAATATTTATATAAAATGCAAGTGTTAACATTTTCTATATAAATATGCGAAAACTTTAGAGGGAAAAACGTTTATTAAAAGAGATAAAGAAAATGTTTTTTTTTTCCAAAAATAGGCGTACAAAAAATAAAAGAAAATTAGCTTTTATAACACAGTAATAAAACAAAAATGCAAAGTTATTCGATTTTAAAAACTTTAATCCCTAATTATTTAAATTTAAACTGAGCTTGACGATGTGAAAATTATCTCATCAACATCGAAAAAAAATCTTTAGAATTTGAAAAGGATGAAAACTACTGTTGTTTGTTGTACAGTAATTATATAATCGTTACGTGAGAATATGAATCGTAACTGTTCTTGCAGGGTCACGTGTCAAGCACCAACACAATGACGGAGGCGTGTACGTCTTGCGTCGAAGCGAACGAGAAGCAGTGTTGGCTTCGGCGTAAACGGCTCAAGCTTCGGAAGCACAATGCTTCCGAGAGACGCGATAGGCTCGTCAAGTCGCTTTCTTTCTGCGGGAGACTGAGTCCTGAAATAGAGGATAAGAATGAGAGGAGTGCTGCTAGCGATCCGGCCACCAGTAGAAAGAATAGGTAAGTGTGTAATTTATAGATTTTTTTTTTGTTTACGGAGATTGCATTAATATACAGTACTTCAGAATAAATATTGTGTATCGGATAATATTTTCGAATATAACCGTGGTAGGTTCGCGACAATATATTATAATATACAATTACTAAATAAAAAATATAAAATAAACTATTTCAAGATTATCAGTAATTGCGAGATATATTATATATATATATATATATATATATATATATATATATATATATATATATATATATATATATATATATATATATACTTTGAAAACAAAAGACGATAGCGGTTATATAGCTCTGTATGATCCTGTCCTGCGCAGTTGGCTTGTATTTGTTAGGTTTGGCTAAAATTTGGTCTGGAGGACATTACATTATTATTACTATGTATTGATATTACTTAGTATAGACATAATTACTTATTTCAAACATAATCAAAACAAACTCTTTTACAGATTCGACACAACATCCACCTCCGGCAACGACAGTGACGAAGAATTGATCAAACAACAGCTAGCCACCATCGCTCATTTACGCAAAAGTATTGAAAAAACACACATATCCACGAAGGAACCCGACAGTGCCATCCCTGAACAGAACGAGCCGGAAATTGTGACGCCCAGCTTCAAACTTGGACCAGAAGGGGGGCCTGTTAGACCCAGACTGACTAGGAGTACAGAAAGAGAAAGGTCCTTCATAGCTCTGAGCTTAGGAGACCCCAGTCAGCTTTGGGATCTGTGTATAGACAAGGATTCCGATGTGGATAAGAGTGTAACGGCCGGCACTGAGGAGCACAGCTCGTTTTCGGAGCAGGCTTGGGATTTCTACCAGGTAAGGTTTTTGTATTTTATATATAAAACAAATATAGGTACCTTAAAGTATTATTAATATTAAAATATTTTCTTTTCGTTCAACAGGAAAAATACAACTCGGAACCATATTCTGAGGCCCCAGACTCTGATGCCGCCAGAAGACTACTCGAATTTGGAGATGACTACCGTGCCTACCTTGACTCGCAATCAGACTGTTGTTCCAGTCTATCAGCTCAACCGGAACAGGATCGAAGCCCCACAGGCACTCGACGTCGCAGACCTCCCTCCGAAATGTCTCGAGAAAGAAGCCTTCCCCGTTACAAACGACCCACTAGAACCTCACCAGTTGAATCACCTCTCAGAAAACCGAAAAAGTCAATATCAAGCGCTGAACGCAAAAAGATGCTGCTAGATAGTTTAGAAAAGTCCAGAAATAGTGTAGAGAGCAACGAAAGTCTTCGCAGACGCAAACAGTCAGAAAGCGAACGCAAAAACAAACGCTCGCCCGAATTCGATCTTCTCAACATTCAAGCATTGAGCCGAAGGCGTCACAGTTCCAACCTGACCAGTGACGAAGTTAACAGTTCCCTAGAGTATACCGAAGTGAACAACCGGCCTGATATCTTAGACTCTTTAAATAGAAGAAGAAAGAATACGGACAAGGATGGAGATAGTGAGCTACAAAAGGTAGCATTGTCAGAGTTACGACGAAGGTCAACCGAAGGCGCCGATTCGGAGGACGACGCGTCAAGTCCTAAGAAGCACAGTAGAAGGAACTGGGAGGGAGACTCCGATTCGGAGTCCGAAGAGGTCAGATCTCTTATACGGAGGTCCAGTTCGCAGCTGGAAGCGGCCGAAGCGGCAATGGCGAGGCAAGATTCGTCGCCGGATCTCCTCCGCGCCTTCGACTACGTAAGGACACAATTCGATACCGATTATAGTAGTTGTACTGAGGCGGAGGACGATTTTGCGTGCGTGACTGCTCGTCGCCCCGCATGTTTGAGAGCTAGAATCTGTCTCGCTGTAGCCGCCTTTTCAATTTTAGTCATAGTTTACATACATCTACAATGACATTTGGCTTGGGCTTGTGTGATATTTATCCTTATCTATATAAGTATACGTATTAAGTACGCTGCGATTGTCAGGCTGCGAATTAGAAATGTCCACTTTTGCACGCATCAACGACACGCGCAGAAGTGTTGAAGCGCGGTAGTATTATTCAAGCATTCCATTTAAAAGCAATTTAAAGTATATAGGGTTAGTTTTATATTGTACAAATTGTAGCATTTATATAAAATGCACGTAAAGTCTGACAAACGCAGTCAATTATTTAACTTTTCTACAAAATGTGTTGTACTATAGTCCCATTGGTAGCTGTCAAATTCTAAATTTGATAGCTCTCAAACCTTTTACTCGTAATTAACACCTATCCTAAAGTATTCCTTGATTATTTTAATGTAAACACTCTATTCTCATTCGATTTTCCACGTAATCACATAATTATAATAATACTTAGTTGTTCTTATTTGTGAAATAGTGAAACTTTATTATCGACGTAGTGAATTTACGTATTTAAAAAAGTCACGTTTTCTTGTAACAATCCACCGCCGAGACTGCATGAGTAATGAGTATATACTCTTAATTAACCTACTTATGTAAAATATAAAATAAAAGAAAAATGATATGTCGTAAAGAAGTTTCACTTCGTACGTGTGTACAAAATTACGCGCACAATTTTCTTTATATTAAAATATCAATGAGAATTTTTTTTTAATTATATTATACATAAGTTGGGAATTTGAACTTTAAATAAATATACATACAATATACTTTTAAATAAGATTAGCAGAACAGTGCTTACATTCGCGGAAAATCGGATTATAACGGACTTTACACAGGTAGCTTCACTTTATCTAAAGTGTACTAAATATTTAAAGTGAAACTACCAAGATTATGAAATTTCGTATTTATTTTGTCCCGTGTGTTTTATTTCCTTATTTTATTTGTTTAATTTTCTTTTATACTAACAATGTTTGATGGCCTTGTGTTTGTGATTTATGTAGCTATGATTTTTACTAACTGCTTGTTTTATTATTATTATTTTCTTTTAAAGAACATCCTATCCTTTGTTGGTGGTGATAACTCGGTGCTAGATCATACCTAACTTTTAGATATATTCGCGTAACATAATACAAATGCATATATCTATTCAAGTTAAATGCGGTTTTAAGCGGCGGCCTTGTGCTTAATAAACAGTTACCAGTGACAAAAAACGACTAAATTTTGATGGCAGCTGTCAAATGTAATTATTTGATGCTTACAACGTGATTCGGATACCAGAAATCTAGCTAGTTATGGTATTTAAATTATTTTATTTATGATATAGTTAAATATTTCGAAATGAGAGTAAGAGTTCTTGTCATTGCGTGATATAATTTAAAGTGTAACCTGAAGTTAGGAAAAATTAAGGTTATTTTTGTTATATAATTTTAAATGATAAGGTCTCGCATAATATTATTAATATTTATGTGATTTGACTGAACTCCGCAATATCTCACAGTGTGGCTTTGTAAATGTACTAATCATTATGTTGATTAGGGTTAGGTTGTTAATTGATCTTTTACAAAATGTTAAAAATTAAAGTGAACTTTGTATAATTGTTTACAACAATAAATATGTCGGTTTTGAAAGTAAAAATGGAGTTTCAGTCAATTAACACCCTTCTCTATCAACAGAACGAGTTATTTAAAAAAAAAATACACAAAATCGCATTGAGAAATGAAGCATAAGATGAGGTGCATTGATTAAAATCTTTTTGTCCTCCTTTGGCGCTCTTTAACTTGCTTCTCTAATTTGTGTTTGGCATGTGTTTCTTTATTCGCTTCCGCACTTTTTTTTACTGAAAAATGAACTTGGGCACATAAAATTTAGCATGGTTCCTTAAAGAAGAAAAAACTTAAGGCATGTCTATTGTTCATTATTTTTTTCTTTAATTTTTTTATCTGCGCACTAGATTTAATAAAGAAAGGTAGGCAGAACATTACGCACATTTCAAGTGACACTAAAACCATGCACAAGTTATTGTAAGAACATGCACACATATGCACCTACTCTAACCTAAAACTATTTGCAACCTACAACATGATTTTAGAGGCATAATATGTGTGCGTGAGTGTTATAATAACTTGTGCAAGGTTTCTGCTTCCCTTGAAATATGCGTAATGTTCTGTCACTTTCTTTGTTAATCTGAGTCTGTCAAATATAAAAAATAGTGGGTATATAGTGAATGAAAATATAAGTGTCTATAATCTTAAAATGCGGTAAACCGATTTCTGAGCGCTAAATCACGTTTTCTTTTGCGAATTGAGTTTTTTTCGGTGCGCAGACGGAGATCGTAACGCGTTGCCGCGAGAACATCAACTTATTGGACGCGGCACTCGCCGACGGCTCCGTTTTGTCGTCCGGGTTGCAAAGAGACATACGAGGTTTGTAACCTTTCTTTTAAAGCTAGTCATTTGTAGAAATTATTCACAAGACATTGTAAAAAATTTAATCTCTGATTGAATCTAAACTGTTTAATTGAAGTATGTAAGAAAACATATGTTCTCTACATATTTTTTATGTCAGGTTACGGATATATTCTATTAAAATTAGACATATCAAATGTATAGACTATAGTTGTAAAATATTCAAAATGTATAGATAATGTGCAGACCGAGTTTCGACCATGGCGGACAGTCTTAACGGAGACTAAGCCATTTGCGCAGGAGGAAACGATTATAGTGCACGAGTGTGTGTACAAGGACAGGTGCACTCTCTATTCCCTCACTCTCATAGTCTGATGGGACGGCAATTCGATTCGACCGGAGAGAGATCAGGCACAGGCCCAACAGCTTTACGTGCTTTCTGAGGCACGGGTGTGGAACACCGCTAACTTTCTGAATCCAGGTTACTACTGAGAATTTCTTGCCAGAAAATCTCAATAACTAATTTTGGCTCGACCCGGGATTCGACTTGGAACCACAAGGGAGATAGGTAAAAATGTAGGAAAAGTCGTCATTGTAGTAAAATGCAACAAAATGACCATCAAAAAACATTCCAGTTTCATGACAGCCATTGAGAAAGAAAGAGACCAAACCATTAAAATGAAATAAAATTGAGAAGTAACGCAGGAAAAAGATAAAACAATTCATTAAATTTCTTAGTAATTCCCTCCACGATAAGCAGGTACATAACAAGTTAGTTTTTTTATTGTATTCAATATTCATTGACATGTTTTATAGTTGCAAAAGCGGTTTTTAAATTGGCGCTTCGCAGACTGACTGGCACTTGTCATCATTTTTTGTTACAGTGATAGTTTTTTTATCACATTCCGTCACAATCTACAGTAGTTATTGCAGACAAGAAATAAACAGCAGAAACTCTTAATGTCTAACCACTATAACACATTTAATCGAATGTAATCGCAGTGCCCTTGATTGAAGTTAAACCACTGGTTTGTTCTGCCATACATTTCTGTACAATTAACCATTGGTTACGTGATATGCAGCTGGTGGTGTTATATTATTTTTTGAGTATTTTTTATTATGATTAGTAATATAGGTAAATTTAATGGAAAATAGTGAATGACTTACTCACTTACCAAATAATAACAATATATCATTATTAATATATTTTATCTTAAGATTATAATTTGGCTACTTTTTGAAAAACCAATGCGACCAGGAGCAATAGATGGTACCAATGTCACAAAATAAAGTGATCACGAGCGGTAGAAGGCTTTTTAGATAAAAAAAATGAGAATATTTAGAGTTGCAATGACTGAAAATTCAGGTTTACTTAGTTTATGCCTATTACGACGTCCATCAACTTTTGGTCATCACATGGATGAAATTAAATTAAATCAGGTCGATTGCATGCATTACTAACAGTTCAGTGAACTAAATACCACTTTATTGAACCGAAAAGACTTTATGGTACTGACATCGTTGTGAAATGGACATTTAAAACTATGTTACAGTAACGACTACTAAATATTTGGCTTATGTACAATTGTAATCAACTTAAAAAGTTTGAAAATAATAGAACGTAGAAATTTTGAATTTTAATTTTTATCATATTATGTTGTTATAGCGGCAACAGAAATACACATTCTCTGAAAATTTCTGTCTACCTATTACAGATCATGAGCCCGCTGACAGACAGACGGACTGACGGACAGCGGAGGCTTAGTAATAGGGACCCGTTGGTTACCCCTTTGGGTACGGAACCCTAAAAATGACATTTTGTACAATAATTATTGAACGCAATTGCATTATAAACACTGCGCCGCGCCGCTCTTAAACGTTGACATTGCATAAAAAATGCGAGTATACCGGCGGTCGGGTTGTAACCGGTTCGCGGACCTTCGCCTCTTACAATCTCGACCGCGATCAAGCTAACTCGTTATTATTATTTCGGGAACCCCGCCACATACACATCATGTATAATTAAATGATTTATCGTTCGGCTTAACTGTAAAAGTAAAACGGACACACGTAGCAATTTAGCAAACCGTTATTGCTTACGAATATTCTTACCTTAACCTCATACTTAACTGTTACAACAGGAAAATAGTATGCAAATACAACGTTTATTGAATTACTGCTTATTTTTCTATTTTCTATTACACTGCGCGATCTATGTGGCAATTAAATTATAAATAACAGCGACTAAAATACTGTCCGCAAACAGAACTAGATCCTGTCAGGGAAGGTTCCCTCGGCTCGCTGGTTGTCTCATTTGTCAACCCATTCATTGGGGCAAAGCGACCTGTAGACGCGTTTGAAGTAATTACAAGGCTCGTACTCGTAGCTCTCTCCGCGCAATTTCTGGCATCAATGGAAGTCCAAATAACTTTGGTAGCAATGCCTTGTCTGGTTCTGGTTAGGAAACCGAGGGTAAAGAGGTGAAGTTTTGATGTCAGCGGGCGATTTCGTCATTTCTGGCATTTTAGTTTTATTGATCTTAAAACGTTATTTTTGTCAAGAAAATTCTTATAAAAAGTACAGAGAATAATGGTTTCATCTAAAATTTTTTCTACAATTTAAGTCTAAAATATAGAAAGTGTTTTAAATTAGTTTATAAAATATAGCTTCTTTTCGCAAGTATTTGAACAGTGGTAAAATTTTTATGTCGACTTTAGAAATTTAAAGAAAGATTTGTACAAAGTGTATATTTTAACATTTTTTTCGAAAATTGGGACTAATTTTAAAATACATAATTCTGTAGAGAAAAAAAGAAACTAATTTTAAACATGCATAATTGTAGAGGAAGAAACGAAACCAATTTCCAACATACGTGTTGGAAATTGGTTTCGTTTTTTCGCTTAATTTACCCGCATATAGCCGCATTTTATCAGAAACTTTTATAAACTGGTTTACTTGTATGTAGAATTACGTTTCATTTAACAGACGAAGAGTCTCAACAATCTGATAATTAAAATTATTACAATATAAATACTGTGCTTATTTTTAACAATATGATCAATGGTAGCCTTTAGATAAACATTCAGATAAACGGTTAAAATTGATACAGTTCGGTGGTAATTAACAGTTGCAACAACTTTTAGGGTGAAATCTATTTTCAGATGTGCGTTTTTAAAATTGATTTTAGAAGTACTTTATTATACATTACCCCATATCATCCTGGGATAAAAGGAAACAGAGGGAAATGGAACAGATGGGCAGCAGCATCTTTCTCAAAATCTAACTCAAAATAATAATAAAAAACTGCAGCTGCTAATCCACCTACCAAGAGTGGCAAAAATTTTCTTTATAGATGTAGGAGGTGACAAACGTGCACACAGTGCACCTGATGAGAATTAAGTGAATGAATACATTGAATGTCCTCGATTAACAATCAAAATGTAGATTCGTTACCACTCCTGAGGACTAAGATGGAATGCTTCGTTACCAGTAAAAGAGAGACCCTTTTTGAGATTCTCGGCACTCATCATATAAAATACAATACGACATAGCATTATGTTGCTATTTCACGCCATAGAGCTGTGATCGAGCTTTTCGGCCGGCCCATTGCTAGTTCAGCTTACTCTAGTGCATTGTACAAGGAAAATAATAAGATTATTGTTCTTTTCCTACATAAATTTTGTCTTTTGCCTTAATTATACCAAAATGATCACTTTATAATGTTGAAGAGAACCCAGAAGACCCATCTATTTTTGCTTACAAAAGCGGAAGGTAACGGTAACTTCAGAAATTAGGAAACCCGTGACCATTTTGCGATTTGAGTTTTTCTTAACTTCATAAATAGAAGACGACGTCTGTCACCGCTTGTCGCGCTCAAGCGACTAGCAATTTTAGAAGAAAGTTTTGTTTTGCTTGACTCTGCCAAGATTTTTATATTTCCTGTATTGTATTTCTCGTCTTAATTTTTATTCGTATAACATTATTTTTTACAGCATTAAATATATTATAATTAATAGAATTCTGTAAGTATAGCATATAATATAAGTAACACTGCTACTGAAGAAAAAATAAAACCTTGTGCACAGGTTTTATTTTTTCTTCTCACATACATATACCTCTCACATTAAAAAAAAAAGTAAAGTTGCAGCCTATTTACGTCCCACTGCTGGGCACAGGCCTCCTCTCATTTCTGAGATGGTTTTAAGGCAAGGAAATGTCCGCCGCG